CCTATGTAAATTCACCTGGTGCTACCTGTGAGCTGATTGTCTCCAATACTGCAGCAGTGGAGTTTGGCACATTGGCACAGAAAACCCACAAAGCAATGGCATAGATACAAATTTATGCAATAATTAGTTGCTAATATGTTAGTTTTATATGCCATTTATATTAGGAGGAGATTTTGCTTTTAAAAAGAATAAAATTGCTGATTGCTGGATAGTGCATTTAGCCATCACCTCATTTTCTGGAATCGATCCAAGGTAGAATAATTCTCCTATTCATGGGCTACTGTGGAAGCTATTTTAATGATCTTCTCTAAAAATTGAGGCTTTTTTGCATAAAAATTCTTACACTGTTATGTGGAGTGGTGCATCTCAAAATGTAACATGCATGCAGATCACCTGGGCGTCTTGTTAAATGCCCTTCCCAATTCAGTGGGTCTGGGATGGGGCTCTAGATTCTGCATATTTAACAAGCTCTCAGGTGATGCTGATGCTGCTTGAAATAGCAAAGATATAAGGAACTGGACCTCAGAGAGAGGTAAGACAAGGTATAGCCAATTGTGAATGCCTTTATCAGAAACATGTGGTTACTTTTGTGTCCCTTTGAGAAGAGAAGCCTCTCTTACATTTCTACAAAGAGGTAAAGTAAACCTTGGACCACTTAGGAGGGGCACTTAGTATATATGCACAAAATGACACATTGAAGCCTAAGTTTATAGAGAACAATTTCCTTTGAGATAGGTGTACTCCACATCCAAACTCCCACCTGAGGCTTCGTTACAGTGGTCTCCACCACTGTACACTCATGAGAGCATGAGAGTGAAAAAGTCAAAAAATGATGTCTTACTATCTTTATGACAATAGTTTTGACCTTGTGGACCTCCTGAAAGCCTCTCGGGTACCTCCCAGAGATCCCTGAGCCACACTTTGAGAAATGCTGGCATATAGGAAACTATACAGTGTATGTTTGTGTCTATTTGCAAGTAACAGGGTAAATTTATAATGAGAGGAGCCAATGAATCAAAGTATCTAAACCACAGGTAGTTTTGGTTCCTCCCCATTAACACAAGCCCTTGTTTATTGTCCTGATTGAAACCGTACTCTTAATATTTCAGACAAAGTACATAGAAATGGAATGGAAAGAAATTTATTCAAAATACCCCTGTGACCAACTAATTAGAAAGGTTATATGTGGAGGAGGTTATATAGCAAGTAATGGTGGGTAGTGGGTAGGGGAAGACAACACTGAACAGTAATACAAAGTAGGTCTAAGCACATGGTCAAAAGATAATGTTTCCTGGTGCAACAGTTTGACCTGGTTAAAGAGGGGTGGAGGGCTTCCCTGGTGGCACAGTGGTTGAGAGTCTGCCTGCCGATGCAGGGGACACGGGTTCGTGCCCCGGTCTGGGAAGATCCCACATGCCGCGCGGCAGCTGGGCCCCGTGGGCCATGGCCGCTGAGCCTGCGCGTCCGGAGCCTGGGATGGAGACATTGGTTGTTTAGTAGAGAGAATTATAATTTTAAGTTATCTTTCTGTCACAGTAATTGTCATCGACTATGAAGTTGCATATTCACATTCTCTTTCCCTATTTTCCTCACTAGTGTTACTGGCCAGGAGAAATCTGGGCTGGGAAAAGGGACTTTGAGCTGAGAATTGCAGCTCCTGGAGCACCTACTGCTTATACTACATACACTTAACAATGGCCCAGGTGGACTGGGTTGGCCCAGGGAGTAGTAAGAGTAGAAGAGAGAATCATCAGTGATTATAACTATTAATATGTATTGAATATCTAAAAAGTGCTAAATGTTTTTGAGTTATAACGAAGTAAATTTTAATTTTACACTTAGGCACAATGCTTGAACATGGGTCAGCTAATCAAAGTATTACCCTCTTGATCAGCTAGCTTACTCAAGATTCTTGGAATAGCCAGAAAGAGTTAAAAGGGAATATTATGAGAGGCACTTTTACCTTCAACCATAATCCTGTCTCTGCTGCCCCAGTAATGCCGAAAGCATTTGTTATACTCTACTTCACTACCAGCAGTTATAGCAATCATGCCAAAAGCCCACACGCTCAGGAATAGACAAAAGAAGATGCCACTAAGAAAGAAGGGTAAATCACATGTTATTTAGTGAGAGGGCAAAAGTGAAACTAAGTTTGAAATTAGCCATAATGGTAAGACCAGGCCAAAATTAAGTTGATTTGAGCCTTTTTACCCTTAAGGGAACCAACCTGGGCTAAAAGAATCTCAGAAACAAAGAATTAAAAAAAAAAAAAAGCAAAGAAAGGAAAGGGGCATAACCTTGCCAGAAAGATTAAATGAAATCACACTTACTCATTGCTGTGGCAAAAGATGGTAATCTGGGGCTTCCCTGGGGGCGCAGTGGTTGGGAGTCCGCCTGCAGATGCAGGGGACACGGGTTCGTGCCCCGGTCCGGGAAGATCCCATATGCCGCGGAGCAGCGGGGACCGTGAGCCATGGCCCCTGAGCCTGCGCGTCCGGAGCCTGTGCTCTGCAACGGGAGAGGCCGCAGCAGTGAGAGGCCCGCGTACCGCAAAAAAAAAAAAAAAAAAAAAAAAGATGGTAATCTGGTTTCAATATAGCCATCTTTCAAGGCAAGATCTTTCCTTGAGATGTTCTAGACTCACTCATGACTGCACTGTAAGGTGAACTGAGTAGTTTGGTTAGCACAGTCAGAACAATAGTCTATACTTGAGTTAATCCAAAGCCTAGTAAAGGCTCTGATCACCAATTAGGGTTTCTGCACCCAATTCCATTGTGTGGGGGTGGTTTCCACACACTACCAACTCTCTGGACACCAAGTGGATGTCCTTCAATTCAACTGAACTCCACAGGTTAAGGGCCCAGTCCTACAAGACTGCCCTCACTCCCCCACTTCAGATGCAAATCACAAGTCCAGGTTGTCACCTATGATCCTGACTGACCAGCTATAAAATCAGAGGGTCCCATGACCTCTTCCTTGGGTTCAATTAATTTGCTAGAGTGGCTCACAGAACTCGGTGAAACATTTCACTTACTAGACTACCAGTTTATTATAAAAGGCTATAACTCAGGAACAGCCAAATGGAAGAGATGCATGGGGAAAGGGCATGATGCTTCCATACCCTCACCTAAGGTGGTGCCACTCTCTCACCCCTCCCCAGTCCGCTCCTTTTCTGGGTTTTATAGAGGCTTCATTACGCAGGCATGATTGATTAAATCATTGACCACTGGTAATTGAACTCAATTTCCATTCCCTCTCCAGCCTCCTCCTTCCCCGGAGATCAGTGGGGTGGGACTAAAAGTTTCAGCCCTCTAATCTCTCCTTTGGTTCTGGCAACCAGCCCAAAAGTAACCTCATTAACATAACAAAAGACACCTTTGTGTCTTTCACTTAGAAAATCTGAGGATTTTAGGAACTCTGGACCAGAATCAGGGAAGAAGACCAAATGTATATTTTTTTATTATAAATCACAATATCACACCGGACAACTAGTTAGGTTGTATTACAAGCTTTCTTGTAATTTTCTTGCTTCCTGCAATAATTTCTCAGCCATATTTTCCCACGTAACACTTCTTTGTTGAAAAGAAAGCACTTTGGTTCCTAAACATCCTGTGTGAATCTCAGTAACCTATTTCTGCTTATCACAAAATCCTAGAGCTCTACCGCAGGTACTGCTGGTGTGATAAACCCCTAGCATCTCACTCCTCTGCAGTAGCTCCGATAATAGCCACATGCAGTTCTCTCATTCAGCAGTGACTTAAGCAAAATTTACATTGTTTGGTAGTATGATAAATTTTACAAAACTTACGATTTTAGGATTTTCTATTTGTTAGATAGAATTAATTAAAATCTGTTAGATGCAATTCTGCTGAGATTCTAGTTTTCATTGTTTTTATCAAAATATATTGAATATCAACTATGAAAAATTATATTTTTATTATGGTTGCTTAAATTTATTTACCTGTCTTCAGATAAAAGTTCTACTTAGTTCATCTATAAGCCATTAGTCATTTTGTGTGGTTTGAAACTTCCCTTATATGGAGTATTATGTTTTAATATAAAATAGTCTTTATTTTCACGTGGGTATATGAATTTTTTAAGCTCTTTTCTTAATTGATAGGGCACTTCAGAGGTGTTTGCCTCAACCAAAACACAAAAACAGGCTTCTCAGAAATGCCCAAGAGTTCTTCCTAAACAATTATGCCAACTAAAAATACTTACATAATATGGGGATATATGTATATGTATAGCTGATTCACTTTGTTATACATCAGAAACTAACACAACATTGTAAAGCAATTATACTCCAATAAAGATGTTAAAAAAATACATACATTATTGAGGAAAAAGTAGTGGTACTACTACATACTTCTGAAGCAGTTAGATAAAATATTTAGAGAAATTTAATTGATCAAATCATTTAGCTTTTAAATTACCAGCTAAAGAAAATACATCTAGAAATTTGCATCACCATTAGCTTAGCTTAAATCATAGTCAAAATTGTTCTTATAATGAGAAAAGATATAGCTGAAAACAATGTAAAACCTGAGACTTCAGAAACACATAAGGTACACATGGGAGGTAAGATTTTTCTAAATATAAAGACAGTGATAGGAGGAAATTATTGTAGCTTTGGTTAGAAATACTCTCTCTTATTCTGACAGAAAAAAAGACAAAATGCTAAAAAAATTCAAAGGAAATACTAGGAATTTGAAATATTTATTTTACTAAATATTTTATTACAAGAAAAAAGTAACCTTTGTAAATAATGTCTTAGTTTTAAAGAACACATAGGTGAATATTTGATTCTTGTTATTTTTTTTCTTGGTTTTTGAATTTGCAATGCTCAGTACCTTAATAAGATCTAGTATAGTCAGTCTGAACATTTACATGACTGAGTCTAAAAATTGTTTTCCATATTGCTCTCTTTTATTTATGCTTAGTCAGTTTTTAAAACTTCTAAAATACCTTACAGTAGACCTGTCTTTTTGCCCCCTCAGCAATCGTGTGGAAGCCTGGACAAGAGATGTTGCTTTCTTACTCAGACAAGAAGGCCGGCCTATGGTTAATCTTGTCCCTAAAAAGACTAAAGTAAGAGTGATGGAAGGGGACTGGAAGAATACAGATAGAGCAGTAAATTGGTTAAGAAAGGAAGCAATTAATTACACTCAACCATTTGTTCTGTACTTGGGATTAAATTTGCCACACCCATATCCTTCACCATCTTCAGGAGAAAATTTTGGATCTTCAACATTTCACACATCTCTTTATTGGCTTAAAAAAGTAGGTATACTGTGTGGGCTCAGAGGTAAAAGCTAACATTTTATCTGTATATTATTGGTGTTTGCTCACTGTTTCTTTTATTATCATTTTTAAAGAAAAATTTGAAAATTGCATAGTCACGTTAAATCAAACTTGACCAATAACTGGTTGACAGAAACTAAAGGGACAATTTTACAAAAATATAATGTGTTAAAACTCAGAACCTACTTCTAAGTTGAATACATTTGCATATAATATGTCTATTTAAAAAAAAACTAAACTAAAAGATACTCTCTTAGGAGTCCAGGCAGTCCTCACTTTGCATGCTTCAGGAGCGTAAAAATGACTGTGCAAGCTGAAACTGTATAAAGAGATCTTAATAATCAATTGGGAAAATGACCGTTTTTCTAGAACTCTAAAAACATTTGTCAAAACATTAAAAACTCTTCTTTTGGGTTATAAACGTATAGGGAAATGACAAAATAGTAAAACTAATGTTTATTTAATGCACTGTAATTGAAAACACTAGAAACATTAAGAATTAAAGTGTTTTGATTTTTTTGTAAAAAAAAAGAATCAAGAATAGTTTGAACAGTGCTTGCCTTCTCATTGTGTAACTTAAGATACAGAGCATCTTCTCTATGTCTCAAGAAATTGTCATATTCCTTTCTAAATTTGGATCACCTTCCAACATTTTACCCTTTGCACTTTCAATGTCATAATATATTCCTGAGAGTTCCTATAATGTGAAGATTTTTGCTAGTGTCACTTCCTCTAGGACATGTTCATCTTTTTCTTCATAACGACCTTCCTTACTTATATCTATGTTTTCACTAAGTTCCTCTGGCTATATATCTTGAGTGTATCAAATGGTGGCAGTGTCAGCATTCCCAGGTCAGCTATTTCTTCTATAACTCCAGTTAACATTTGATTCAGGGACTTCCCTGGTGGTCCAGTGGTCAAGACTTCGCATTCCAATGCAGGGCGTGCAGGTTTGATCCCTGGTCAGGGAGCTAAGATCCCACATGCCTTGCGGCCAAAAAACCAAAACATAAAACAGAAGCAGTATAATAACAAATTCAATAAAGACTTTTAAAATGGTCCACATCAAAAAAATCCTTAAAATTTTTTTTGATTCAAATTTTACTTGCAGTGTTATCACTTTTTATTTCTTAACTGTATGTTCATCTTTGTTGATCAATTTCCTCTTTTGAGTATCCATTTTTATATCACATGGATTTATCACTGGGAGACAAGGAGGCAGCATACCTACACACCTTTGCAGTCTGTTTATGTACTAAATAAAAGATGTGCAGTGATCAAACACAGACAAACTTTGAAAGAAATGACAATCACTGACTGTGATACACATATATAATCTACATGGTGATGTAGAGACTAAAGAACTAGCAGCATATGAATGTGAAAGTTTGTACTTTATGCAATAACTCGCAGTTAATATACCTGGGTAATGATGACAAATTTATATGATAATAGAGCAGTCAGAGTCACGCATACAAACTGGAGTCGAGCAGCCATTGAGGATCTGGTTTCAGACACGTCTCTGCACCACTGAAAACTTGAACTTTCTTTGAACTGTACCAGGCCCAGGGACACCACCAGCTGTATTCAGAACAACACCTGCCAGCTGCAGCCTTATGGTCTCAGGTCTCAAGGTCTCCCCTTGTAACTATGCAAACATTTCAGACCCCAAACAACCTAAGCCTCCTTACTTCTCATCAACTCCAATTATAATTCTTGATAAACAACTCATGTAACTAACTGTGGCCTTGCAGCTTTTTGCCTTTATAAGCCTCTCCCGTTGTATAGTCCTATGGAACACTGCAAAGTGCTTCTTGAATCCATGTCTCTTGGGCTTCAGTCCTAACAAACCCCATATAAACACATTTTTATTTCAATCAGGTCTCCATTTCTGAAATTTTGGTTAAAATTTGAACCCTGTTGTTGGGGAACTGGTGCTATTTAACTAAGCTGTGGTAACTGATATCCGTGCATACCTGAACCATGTAAAGCGAGGACTGCCTGTGCTTTGAAGTCTGTCACCTTAAATCAAATTTAAGTTACTTTAAAACCTCTATCCAGAAACACTATGTAGTGCACCCTACTTTAAAGGAAACAGTGTCGAAGTTTTAGATACTTCATGTCTTCTTAAAAAGTTCCTTATTTACAAAACAGAAGTAGAGTCGCAGATATAGAAAACAAACTTATGGTTACCAGGGGGTAAGTGGGGGAGGGATAAATTGGGAGATGGGGATTGGCATCTACACACTACTGTATATAAAATAGATAACTAATAAGGACCTACAGTATAGCATAGGGAACTCTACTCAGTACTCAGTAATGGCCTATATGGAAAAAAAATCTAAAAAAAGAGTGTATATATGTATAACTGATTCATTTTGCTGTACAGCAGAAACTAACAACATTGTAAATCAACTATACTCCAATAAAAATTTTTAAATATAAATAAATTAAATTAAAAGTTCCAACTGGCTCTATCTTAAAAAACTTGTCAGGAGTCAGTACTAGCCTAATGAAATGAGTCAAATAATTTAAGTAGATATTTGAGTTTATTAAAGCTACATGACTGGAAGATATGTATGACTTAAGTCTAGTCTTAATGGTTTTCACCAAAACTGTAAGCATTTATATGTATTAAAAAGTTGTATTTGTTCTTAACAAACATTTGGCTATCTCACTAGATGTTGGCATTTTTACTAGTGAACTACTGGGAAAAAGGAGTCTAGATTCTTAGGTTACTGATTCTGAAGTTCTGAATTGATCACACAACTATATTAAAGTGATTAGATACTTATGGATTAGAATACTGTCTAATATAGCTCATGCTTTTTATTGACATATATAATCTTTAAAATAATTTCACAACTGTCTTACTATATATACAGATATTGATATATACCTTTTGTTGTTACTGAGAATACTAAAAATCTGTTCCTAATTTATGTATTTGATTTACTATTTTCTTTACATAATTCACAACCATGCTTTTCTACTAACCTAAGTAATTAAACTTTGTCTAGTTTACCATATATTCTTGTTGGAAGGGAGGAATATTACAACTTTGTTTTTCTCCCCTTTTTAGGTGTCTTATGATGCCATCAAAATCCCAAAGTGGTCACCTCTGTCAGAAATGCACCCTATAGATTATTACTCTTCTTATACCAAAAACTGCACTGGGAAGTTTACAGAAAAAGAAATTAAGGATATTAGAGCATTTTATTACGCTATGTGTGCTGAGACAGATGCTATGCTTGGTAAGTGGTATAATTAAAAAGCAGTCACATGAGGAAAAAGTAAAATATTTTTCCAACAAACAAACAAATTATGCTGGTTGGTGACTTGTATGAACATCCTCAGAAAATTTATTGCAACAGTTGCTGAGATACTTCAGACTTAGAATTATAAGGTTCCTGACACATATAAAAATTGGATAATTTGCATTATTAATAGTAGAATAAAAGTCTTTTATATCTTAATTATTCATAAATTAATAGATACTTAGATTTGTTCATATATATATATATAAAAGGTCACAGAAAACTATCATCTGTTGGAAATGAAACGTTTTGCTGGATTTAATCAGGAATCAGTATTCAGCCAAACACAGTTAATTATAAGGCATCTTGGGTTCTAGGAGATGAAACAGATGAGATGTAGAACCTTTTGACTTCTCCCAGACACGTAATAAGTGTAAAACAAATCCATTCTCCGTAGGCCATTTAGAGCAAGGCTTAACTAAAGCTGAAATCAGTTTCCTCATGTACATTGATCCAGAATTGGATCCAGGATTGTGAAAGGTAAAGGTCTAGGGGGTAGCTGAAGGTGCTGAACTTGCTCAAGAATTAGACAATGGGAAGCTGTGGGAAAGTTTTAAGCTGGGGTGTGACATGATCAGCTATTTTAGAAAGATAGCCACCAGAGTGGTACAAGGGATATTATGAAGGGGAAAGAGGAGTGGAGGCACGAAAACTAATTAGGAAGCAATTACAGTTGTCCAGCTGAAAGACCCTGATGCCCTGATGGTCTGAACTCCGTAAATAACTCATGAGCTGTGGGTCTCAAATCTGACTGGACCTCAGAATCACCTGTGGGTTTTGTGGGGGGTTTTTTTTTTGTTTTTTTTTTTTAATAATACAGACGCCTATAGGCCAGATTCAGAAACTGCCAAAGTAGAGATGATGCTTCTCTCTGGACTATGCCTTACTGTGTTCTCTTAATTGCAATGAGGAGGAAGTTTCACATCACTTAGAGAGAGGGAGTGGTCAGAGAAATTTTACTGCCCAAGAATATGCCAAATCACATTCATATACCATCTGTACTGCTTCCAGCTCTTTTTCAAAGGTAGGATTTCCATAACACTCAGCCAACTTCATGGGCATGATCTTGATCTGGTGACTGGGAATTTGAGAGAAAGGGTAGCAGGAGGAGGGGTTCTGACCCTTTTATCACCTCCCGCTGGGCAGGAATTGTGGGTCGACGGTGACAGCAGTCCTTTCATGAGACATGCACAGTGCTGACATCCAGGCTTGTCTTTCCTTTCTCATTTGAGTCACTGGGGGTAATGTTTTCCCCCATTGTCTGATAGAAACATAGAAAGCAAGCCAGCATGATCTCCAAATAAAGAAACTTATCCTATGGGTATTGTATTTTCTCCTTCCTCTCTCTAGTCCAACCACTGAGAAGCAGGCACATGAACTCTGGCATAAGTTACTTAAGAACAGTAGATAGGGCTTCCCTGGTGGCTCGGTGGTTAAGAATCCGCCTGCCAATGCAGGGGACACGGTTCGAGCCCTGATCCAGGAAGATCCCACACGCCGTGGGGCAACTAAGTCCGGGCGCCACAACTACTGAGCCTGCGCTCTAGAGCCCCGAGCCACAGCTACTGAGCCTGCGTGCCTAGAGCCAGTGCTCCGCAAGAAGAGAAGCCTCCACAATAAGAAGCCCGCGCACCGCAACAAAGAGTAGCCCCCTCTCGCCGCAACTAGAGAAAGCCCACGCACAGTGACAAAGACCCAACGCAGCCTAAATAAATACGTAAATTTATAAAAAAAAAAAAAAAAAAGAACAGTAGATAACATTCTGATGTTAAGAAGCATCCTGACAAACTCTTAGAGGGTAGAGTTCTTATGAACTTATTTTGATAGAATAAAACATGAGCTAAAAGCTAATTAAGATTTACCTTGACTTATATTACAGGTGAAATTATTTTGGCTCTTCACCAGTTAGATCTTCTTCAGAAAACGATTGTCATATACACCTCAGACCACGGAGAGCTGGCCATGGAACATCGTCAGTTTTATAAAATGAGTATGTACGAAGCTAGCGCCCATGTCCCACTCTTGATCATGGGACCGGGAATTAAGACCAACCTACAAGTATCAAATGTGGTTTCTCTTGTGGATATTTACCCTACTATGCTTGGTAAGTAATGCAATTATGTAAATATTTATTTGTAATAATGCTGGAAAATGAATAAGCAAAATAGTCAGAGGCCCTGCGGACTTGTTCATAACCCTTGACCAGCTCATTTAACTGTGAGTCAAATCCATATCTGAAAAATGAGGATAATATTTCTCAGGTTCCTTTGGCCTTCACTTACTCTAGTCATTTTTCCTTCAAAAGACTCACAACCAGGATATGACAATAAAGTAAGCCACATATGATATTCAGGTCTATAACTTTATAGATATGATTTGTGCATCATTTGATTCTCTACCACCACCTACCTAAAATGTAAGCATTTCCCTTCTGGATTATTCCATCCACTTTGAAACTACTAATTTTTTTACAATGTTACAAATGTCCCTTAATGTTGATGCTATGAACATATTTCTCCCCAGAATATTTAGATTGTTCTGTACTATTTATTTTACTAGCTTCTAATGTCTATTAGCATAACCATAGGTCTAGAACAGCAACATCTGGATATGGGTAGTTAGCAGTTTTTGTTAAAGATACAAGAATAAAGCCATCGTAAATTCAGAAGTTATATAGAACTGTTTCTATCTAATTTAGAAGAGTACTTTAAATTCAGTAACATTTAAATTCAATAACATCTAAATACTCTGTTTGAAGGCACCATAAATTGCAAAAAGTACCATCAATTTATAAATAGATTTTGGTGAAAGAAAAAGTTAACACAGCATAAGACATGTGTGTTTAATATGTTCATATCAAAATGCGAAACAAACATGTATCTGGAAATTAAAGAAATAAGAAAGTTCTTTTTATCTCCTTTTTTCTGCTACAAACTCTTTCCCTTCATTTAACTAAAGACTATTATAGGGTCTTAAATTTCTTTACAGTTAATTTAAATCAGTGCCTGGAATTCCCCGGCAGTCCAGTGGTTAGGACTCCGAGCTCTCACTGCTGAGGACCTAGGTTCAATACCTGGTTGGGGAACTAAGATCCCACAAGCTGCGCGGCCAAAAAAAAAAATCAGTGCCCTCCTTTTGTCTTTTATTTCACATCTCTTGTATATTTGGGCACACTTCTTTGTTGTTCTTTTGCCTGATGTATATTTTTAATCTCTTCAGTTTCTTACTCATCATTTGCTGGTTCCCCTTTGTCCCAAAGCAATTATCACACAGCCATGTCTCTGCCACTTTCTGGCTCTATCAATTTCCAGGCAATCCCTATTACTTTTCCTCATTTCTGGGTTTTATTTTTCTTTTTTTTTTAAACTTTTTATTTTACACTGGAGTATAGTTGATTAACAATGTTGTGTTAGTTTCCCGTGTATAACAAAGTGATTCAGTTATACATATAAATGTATCTATTCTTTTTCAAATTCTTTTCCCATTTAGATTATTATAGAATATTGAGCAGAGTTCCCTGTGCTATATAGTAAGTCCTTGTTGGTCATCCATTTAAAATATAGCAGTGTATACGTGTTGATCCCAAACTCCCTAACTATCCCTCCCCTCACCTCATTTCTGTTTTTATAAGAAATGTATGTGCAATTGTGTTTTAAGTGTCTCTCTTATTTTAAGTGTCTTCTTTTAAATATTTTAAGTGTCTGTTATTATCACCTTTGTAGCTTTATCAGTATATGCTTCTTTTACAGTGGCATTTCTTTAGTTTCCTCCCTTAGTTTTTCCTTATAGAACTTCCCCTACCCCATTTCCAAATTTGCATATCTTTTTATCCTTGTTCTGCTTTCTTGAGGTACACTGATCAGAACTGCAAAAGATTATTAAAGGTTGGGATGATCTCAGTTTTCCCTCAATATATTTCATAGTGATATTTGGCATTTTGTTTGTCTTTTTGACTGTAGCAGCTAAATAATCCAGTATCTGTCTGCAGTGAGTTCTAGTCTATTCCTACTCATTCTGTCACTTTATATGTTAGTTGATTAATATGCACTGTTTAAATCATTTTTCTTTGAATATTGTTTTATATTTGCCTATAATGCAAATTTTCTTCTCTGCAGTCTTGATACACCATTATCATTACTTGCCATTTCATACATCATAAAAGTTAAAAGTCATCTGCAAACTGGAAGATTTCACAATGTATATATCAGATTATATAAGAAAATACTAAATAAAGTTGTTTGGAGTGAGGGAATTTTCATTTATCCACATAGAGGGACAACCTGCCTGTCCCTGCCTAGTTTATGTTACTTGACAATTAGCACTTCTTTAGCCAAACAAAGCATTCCCAGAAACCCCTTTGCATTCCTTCCCCACTCTTCTGGAAATTATGTAGGTTCTCTGAAATTGTAGATTTTTTTCCTATAATTTGTCAATTATTACAATTTTTTAAAACTCATAGTTCTACATAGATTTTTTTTGTTTTGTTTTTATCTTTGACTGATGTTTGGTAATAGAGTCCTTCTGAGTCACATTTCCCAGCAGAACATGTTTTATTAACAGCATTTTGATCATGTGTTGATTAGACCTGCCCAACTAAAGTAAGTAAAGCCAAAAATTAGTGTCTCTCCAGTTCTAAACTGGAAATTAACATTCCAAGGCTTAATGTGTTTCATAATGAACATTTTTATTATGAAAAGGGAAAAGTTACATTTATATGATTGGTGGAGGAGAGTGAAGAGAATATCTATGCATGGATCTTTATATAAAACACTGAAACAGGGGCTTCCCTGGTGGCGCAGTGGTTGAGAGTCCGCCTGCCGAGGCAGGGGACACGGGTTCGTGCCCCGGTCCGGGAAGATCCCACATGCCGCTGAGTGGCTGGGCCCGTGAGCCATGGCCGCTGAGCCTGCGCGTCCGGAGCCCGTGCTCCGCAACGGAAGAGGCCACAACAGTGAGAGGCCCACGTACCACACACACACAAAAAAAAGACAAAAAAAGCCACTGAAACATCCTATTAACCAGATGTTAACCAGAGATAAGGTAGAAAGAGAATGATGCAAGAGGGATTCAACAAGAACCTTATGCTGGAGCCAGGAAACAGCACTGTAACATTATTTATCTAAAATTAACCTTTTACAAGTGATAAAGGGTTAATATTAATAGAACTCTCACAAATCTATAAGAGAAAGAGACATACCCTATTAACAAATTGACCAAAATATATAAATAAGCAATTCACAACAGAAGACACACAAATGGCCAAGATATTTTCAGAGATTCAAACTCAGTAGTCTGAAAAATATTAAAATAAGAAGATACCATTTTTCTTTCACACATAGAGTTTGCAAAGATTTTTAAACAGCAGAAAAGCTTATATTGGAAATAGGCCTTCTCATATTCTGCCGTTGGGAGTATAAACTGGCACAGATTTCCTGGAGGCAAATGTGGCATTACATTCCAAATTACTTAGAAATATGCATACATTTTGACCTAGAAAATTCCAATTTTAGAAATTAACCTGTAGATATACAAAAAGATTTATCTCCATGGATATTATTGTATTATGATGTTATATTAAAGAATTAGAAACAGTATGAATATCTAGTAGTAATGAACTGGGTAAAAATTAGTCAACTTTGTTTTAAAAAGTGAAATGATACATGGAAATGGCTCCCATGTATTATCGAAAAGAAAATGTAAGCTCTAAAACCGTATAAAATTTTTTTGTTTTGGTTTGATTTGTTGTTTATTGAGATAAGATATCTATCTAATTTATTGACCAGATCAGCACATTTTTTAGAGTAAAAGGATACTATTAACAATTACACCAGGGACTTCCCTGGTGGCTCAGGGGTTAAGAATCCACCTGCCAATGCAGGGGACACAGGTTCGAGCCCTGGTCCGGGAAGATCCCCCATGCCATGGAGCAACTAAGCCCGCGAGCCACAACTACTGAGCCTGCGTGCCACAACTACTGAAGCCCGTGCGTCTAGAGCCCGTGCTCCGCAGCAAGAGAAGCCACCACAATGAGAAGCATGCATACTGCAACAAAGAGTAGCTCCCGCTCGCCGCAACTAGAGAAAGCCCGCGCATAGCAACAAAGACCCAACGCGGCCAAAAATAAATAAATAAATAAATAAATAAATAAATAAATAAACTTAAACAAAAAAACTCCCAGATATTTCTCTAAAAAAAAAAAAAAAAAAATTACACCAGGATTAGCATAAACTGAGTCTGTTGCCTTGTTGAACAGCCTTACCAATCAATAAGGCAAAGATAATTCTGATGGTCTATGTTTAATCTCATGTTTAATTCAACCTTGTAAAATGAAATTACTTACTTCTAGAAGGGTTTAAAGCTATCAATACTTTTAGTAGTGATTAGTAACTCTAAAATTTGACCTGTGGGACAGTGTATTCTATTTTTCCTAAGCTTAATAAATAGATTTTGATAAAGTATCTATGAAGGACTTCTTATTTTGTGATTCTTCTAACCAACTAGGAGCTTAAAATAGATATAAAATATAATCTATTCTTAGAATTCCAAAGGTCCTTTATTACCTTAGCCACAGCTGTATTGTTTTGTATGGATCCAATTTATACACAAGAGTATGGGATTAAATTTCTCAGATCAAAGCCTCAAGCCAGACTTCCTCTTCCCTTCCATTCTATGGACCTTAGAAATGTATAAAAGATGGTGATTCAAAAAACCTCAAATAGAAAGATATTAAATAGGAAAAACCAACTGGGATTCCTGTTTTAATAAACCTACCTTACTATAAAGAGCTTGTTGAAATTTAAGATGGTATAATGCATTTATAAAAAGGTCTGAATTTACAAATAGTTTTTAAAGGTATTTTAGAAAAGTGATTATTTTCTATAAAATGATATTTTATGATAAAGTAGGAAGAGTATTCTTAGTCTATGTATCTTTGTAGGTCCTATCACATTATCATTTTCTAGTACTGGCAGAAGAGTGCCATTTTATGAATAGGAATTCTTTATACTATTAAAGTTGATATCATTATTGCATAGATTATTCTTTAAAAATTGCTCCCCAACCTGTGATAAACCATAATGGGAAAGAATATGAAAAAGAATGTGTGTGTGTATATATACATATTATATATATATATTATATATATATGAATCATTTTGCTGTACAGCAGGAATTAGCACAACACTATTAATCAACTATACTTCAATAAAATAAATTTTAAAAAAATTACTCCCCAAAATATTTTCTTCTCTAATAATCTAGTATCAACATCCTTTAGCTCAGTTAGAAATAAAGGTAATCTCATTTTTAAATTAAAATTGTTTGGACTTTCTCTTTTAAACTTCTTATTTTCAGCTGAATTTTTTTCATTAATAGTTGGCCTTTTTTGTAAAACACCTAACTTCTTTTCACATAAAGGATAAATCCAGAATTTTTTTGAATTGTGAAAATGTAATTGTATAAAAATGCAGTTGTGTTTAAAAGAATGCTTCATTGCTAGTGATTTAAATTGCAAAACCCTCCTTATCACAGGATCTTAGTGGAGGGTTGGGAGGGTCATTCTACATAGACTATTTTGTTTTTATTGGCTGAAAAATATTGGGAAGTTGAATAACTACAGTAAGGCAAAACTTGAGGAGCAGTATTGAAGAGTCCAGACATCCTGGAGTCAAGACTGCCTAAATTCAAATCCTCCTCCAGTATTTACCAACTGTATACCCTTGGGCCAGTAACTTAACATCTCTGGTCTTCAGTTTTCTTATCAATAAAATAGAAATAATAGTGGCTATTCCATAGCTTAGAACAATGACTGGAACATGGTAAACAATTAAATGTTAGATATTATTGCCATTAATATTTTTTATTCTTCTTAGGTATGCCCTAAAAAATGTACATAGCTTGCATCATTGCCATACCAGGCTAATCCCTTATCTACCCATACACTTGGGAAGAAATATAAGCTTATCTTTCTTCAGGAGACCATCACAAATATCCAGGTCTGCATTTTTACCCATTTGATTACTGTTTTAAATTTAAGTCACTTTATTAAGAATCATGCAGTTACTACTAATATTTGCTTCTACTGCCAAGAATGATGAAACTTCCTTAACACGGAATTCTAACGATAGATTTTCCAGAAGAAAAAAATATGAAAAATGGTTTTAAACAAAGATCAAAGAGCTTTCTGAAAAGCAGTTTAAGCTGAAGTGCTTTTAAGGAAATAACTGATAAACATATGAAAAATGAACACACAGTTTCCCAAAGCACAGAAAAATTAATAAAGATTAAATACATATTTATTAAATACTGTGGATATTTGACAAGGATTTTATTCTTCAACATCAATTTACACAGGTGTATTATTCTACTGATCCTAGACAGGAAACAAGTCACATTATCACTTGCCTGAACTGCAATAGCTTCCTAATTCTTTCCTTCTGCCCGTACTCACTTTTAGTCAATTCACCATACAGTAGTTACTGTCAAACATGTCACGATTCTGCTCAAAATCACTTAGAGTAAAATCGAGAATCTCTAATTGGGCCTGGGAGTCCAACATGATCGCCTCCCCTATCTAACACATCTTGTAGAATTTTACCTCTCACTTACTCTGCTCCAGCCATGCTGGACTCCTTTGCCTTTGGGGAACGGAATGAAGCAGCTTCCTGCCTCAGGGTGTTTACAGTTGCTATTCCCTGGGAGAATGCCCTTCCTCCCCATGCAGATATCTATTGAGCTCATCTAGCCCTTTCTCAGGTCTCTGTCTATGTCACCTCATCAGAGACGCCTTCCCTGACCACACTATATAACACAGCACATAAACACATACCTGCCATCGTTCTCTATTCCCCTGATCCTGCTTTATTTTTCTTCACCTCACTTATCACCAGCTGACATATTTGTCTGTCTCCCCACATTAGAAGGTAAGCTCCAAGCGTCTGAGAGAGCTTATCTGCTTCGTTCACTGTTGTTGCCCTACACCTGGAACAGCACCTAGTTTGTTAGATGCTGGGGTTTTGGGTTTTTTTTGAGTAAAAAAAATTAATACTTAAATGGACTCATCCTAGTTTAATACTGACTTCTCATATAAACATAGCAGAATTATTTAAATTTTCTTAGTCTAACAAGCTTCTTTAGGAAAATTAGGCTAAGAACAGATCTGAAATAAGGTATTTCTAAGTATTAAAGGTGATTAAACTGCTGAATACAGGAACTTCCCAGTCATGGGTATCTGCCAGTTGGTCCCTGCTTCCCAGCCATCTTCAAAGCCCTCTTCTGTCCCTTCCTCTGCCTCGCAGTGGTGCCCCATGACGGCTGACACACAGACCAGCCCGACCCAGCCTATTCCCTGGCTACTTTCTCTCCTTACAGAAAGTAGCCTACTGTCTTGTAGCTCAATTAGTTTCGTCTTGGGCCATCTTTTTCTCTCATGCACATCCTCTTTAACATCTTTGCTCCTTCTTCTTCTGTTTTTAACCAGTTATCTCTGAAATACTTCTCTTTCTTTCCTTCCTTCCTTCACTTGTTCTTTCACTCTTTCTCAAAAAAGTCCCTGATGATGATTGGTTGGCAGAAGATTAGTACTTGTAATATGCTCCTTCCAAGGAAATGGAAGATACAAATTTTTTAATTAAGTTATATGTAAAACAAGTACCTTCAGAACATTTATAGAGGTCTTTGTCTACTTCCTTATTGTCTTTTTTTCCTTATTGTCTTTTAATTCATTTGTTTTTCCTCAAATATGTACAGTCAAGTTAAATTAATTTTCTTATTCAATTTTAATTTCTAGCATTGCAGATATATTACATTCTATTTTTTATTGGAAATACTTAATTATTTCTAAATTAATGTTTCTAAAAACATGGAACATTGAAACCAGAAAAGCTGCAGGGGAGGCAACTACAGATTCCTTTCGGAACTATCGCAAGGACCCAGCCATAATTAACGGTAATTTTTTTTTCGCGGCTTGCGGGATCTTAGTTCCCTGACCAGGGATTGAACCGGGCCCATGGCAGTGAAAGCACAGAGTCCTAACCACTGGACCACCAGGGAATTCCCAATGATTGATAATTTTTCTATAGGAAAAAGATAGTTTGAGTTCCAAACAAATACCTTAAAAGCAATTTTTTAAAATACAACCTTTCTTTGACGTTAAACATTTCTCATGCTATTGTTTTCTATGTCTATATTTGATAAGGAAAAAATAGATTATTTTTCTCTAAAGCAGTATAATCCAGGATTTCCCAATGTATGTTCTGCAAAATACTAGTTCCTCAAGATGCTACTTCGGGGTAAAAAGATGTTCTGTCATCAAGTAACTTTGGGACAGATGGCGTACTACATACCACCCTTGAAGGTTTATGATACACATCATCAATAAATTTATTTAATTTTAACCACTGTTTGCAAACATATGTAACTACTAGACTCCTTTCTCGTATAGGTCTTGTTAATGTCCTGTGGGACCAATTTGAAAAACACCTGTGATCATTCCATCATTTGGAAATACAGTACTTATGATATTAACTAATATTTGTTGAGGGTTTCCTATGTGTCAGACACTGTTCTCAGAATTTTACATAAATTTTCATATTTAAACCTAAAATAAACCTATGAAATTCAGGCATTATTATTATTCCCCTTTTACAAATGACAAAACTGAGGTTCAGAATGGTTAATAACATGCCCAAGGTCACAATTCTAGTGAAGTAATAATAATAAGCATTTGGATCTAGGCAGTCTGTTTACAAAAATCCATATACAGCCTCTAGTCTCTGCGACCTTTAATGATGTCATTTATGAATGTTCAACTAATGAAAGAATGAGTTATTTTAAAATACTGTGTTATTTAGATATTGCTGGAATTCCTCTGCCTCAGAACCTGAGTGGATACTCTCTGCTGCCATTGTCATCAGAAATGTTTAAGAATGAACGAAAATTCAAAAACCTACATCCGCCCTGGATTCTGAGTGAATTCCATGGATGCAATGTAAATGCTTCCGCCTACATGCTTCGAACTAACCAATGGAAGTATATAGCCTACTCTGATGGTGCTTCAGTATTGCCTCAACTCTTTGGTAAATTTGTTGATATATTTTTTAAGTATAGATTATGTGTAATGAGTTGACCTACACAGCATTTGCTCAAGGGAGCCAGTAATCCATCTAAATAAATGTCTGCAGTTTCTCATGCTAGGCCAGTTTACAAAAGGTTGCCCTAGTGAGGAGCAGCTTCTTTGCAAATCAGCATCCGAATTCCAAAGCAAGTGCCCTGAGGCTTTTGATCTGGGTCTCAAGATTGCCACCATTGTTTTCTCTGATCAAGGTGTCTTCCAATACTCATGGTTATCGGTCCCAATCAGTAGTCAACACCCTCTTATTGTACCTTGGATTCAGTTGTTCTGGAAAATTAACTGCTCTCTTATGGAGCCTGACATTCTACATTTATTAGTTAATGTTCACCCCATCCCTACAAGACGTTACTATCATCTTTATTTTATAGAGAAGACTAGAGTTCAGAGACTAGCGTTCAGATACCTGCACAAGGTCTCACAGCTCAGAAGTGGCAGAACTGGGATTTCAACCCAGGTTTGACTCCAAAATCCATGCTCCTTCCACCCTACAAAAGCCTGCTAGATTCACTACTCTGAATTTGTTTTTAAGCAGCATTATTAGATTTATGGTTTTACTTATCCTTTGTCCTCCTTTTGCACATAAAATACATGCTAAAGCTATTTTTAATATTCCTTTCTCCCTAAGTTTTTTTCCCAGTTACAAATGTCAAAATTATTAACTCAAAATAATTCTTCAGAGGCCAAACTGATTGACACCCCCCGCGCTTAACTCTAAAAGGAGGAGATTCTTGGCTTCAAAACAAGTCCTTAAGTTTTCATTCTGTTGAATAATGGGCATCTCTTGTTCATTCATTGGTTACGTTCTGCAAAAAGGAGATGTGCCTGTCAAAGAATCAGTGGGGGAGCCTGCCTTTCCTGTATTCTGGGGTTTATTCACTGACTTCCCTTTCCCAAAGAGGTGCCGTCTGAAATCACCTAGCAAAACCATAAATGTCTTCAGGATCTTCTGGCTAATGCACTCAAATAGGCCTGTAGGGGTTTTTCCCTCACTGTGAATTGTTCATTTACAGTCTTAAGTAACTTGTCATAAGATCTTTGATTTTTCCAATTAGACTGGCATCCTAGTTATATCCTCTGTCTTCCTACATTGTAGGTAAAAGGGGTGTTTATGTTATCTGAAATATTTATCATTTTCTTGATGATAGTGATTGAGAGTTTTTATTTCCATGGCTATTTGCTCAAATAGACACAATCAATGAATGTAATTTTCAAAAATTCAAGCATAGGATGCTAACGAATATTTAAAAAAAAAACAAAAAAAAACTAGGAGTAAGTGAAGTTGCAAGAACTTGACTCCACTATATAAAAAATTCTTCAGCTGGAACATCTGGGGTTGTTGAAATGGGACAATATAAGCACTACTATATATATATATATATATATATATATATATACATATTTTTTTGCATGTCAAAGTAAGCAAGGCATCACAGATAGGAAGAATTGTGGCTAAGCCATCTAAGAATAGATAAGAAAAAAAAAAGGGATAGCAGGATGATGGTAAGAAGGAAGATAATTTGGACATACATTTAGAGAGGTGTTTAACTTTCAGTATATTATTTTTCCATTTACACTGTCCTTTAGCTTACTATACTAAGAAGAACTGAGGGGAAAAAAAAGAAGAACTGAGAATAAAAATAAATTTTAATATGTTATTCGTCACAGAGTAATGACATTCTAAAAGATGGTTTTTAAGCAGATAATTTTAACAGAGCAGGACCCTATGGGGCCTTCCTGGGACAGGCCTTCCCCCATATCCTCTGCTTTAGCTCCTCTCTGAAGTACTTAAATAACAGTATTTGATGCACATTTCCTGAGTTGTTTTACAGATGTGAAAACCCCCCACCAAATGGAAGATGTTATAACTACTTGATGACCATGAGCACATTGCCCCAGGCCTCCTGGAGCCTAAGGACTGATAAAGTTAACCCCTGTGACACCACCCTGTTCCCTCATCAGCCAATCAGAGAATTGTGCATGATCACGTACTCTGCGAGCCCCCTCCCTCAACCTGGCTTTTAAAAATGCTTTGCTGAAACTCTTCCGGGAGCTCAGGGGGTTTTAGGGCGTGAGCCACCCGATAAACCTTTCTCTGCTCCAAACTGCGACATTTCAGTGTGTTTATAGCCCCACTGTGCATCAGGCACACGAACTTGCGTCCCAGGAAGGCCCCATAGGGTCCTGCTCGGTTACAACTCCCCCCTTTTCTTTGATACTCCTCAATCTTGAGGAGAACAAGTTTTGAATGAGAAAAGGACTAAAGATTCAGATAAGGAGGTTAATCATAAACTTGACAGAGGTACCCACAGGGTCCTGCTCGGTTATATAACTGTTTTGAGAGGTATTCAATTTTTTTTTTTTCTTTCAGATCTTTCCTCAGATCCAGATGAACTAACAAATATTGCTACAAAATTTCCAGAAGTTACTGCTTCTTTGGATCAGAAGCTTCGTTCCATTATAAACTACCCTAAGGTTTCTGCTTCTGTCCACCGATACAATAAAGAGCAGTTTATCAAGTGGAAACAAAGTATAGGGCAAAACTATTCAAATGTCATAGCAAATCTTAGGTGGCATCAGGATTGGCTGAAAGAACCATGGAAGTATGAAAATGCCATTGATCAGTGGCTTAAAATCCACTCTGATCCATAAAATATTTGAACAAAAATAAGAAAATAATGTTCTAGAGCTATATAGAAATATGTTAAAAGATCATGATTAATTATGCATTTTAAACATTAGTTTTAATAATTACTGATTTTCAGTTAAAGAATGTACTCTTCTAAAATAAAATATCAATCATTATAGAATTACATATTTTCAAACTCATTACTATCAAGACCTTATTCTTATAAACTTCTGACAACTTAACCGAAATATTAAAAGGGTAGAATCAAATACTATAATATAAAGTTGTGTTCCTCTGAATATTATGGAATATAAAATATTTTAACAATTTTTATTACTTATGACCCATAAAATAGTTGTTTTTGAGTATTTGATGGTGTCTGATGAGTTATTTTTATTTGATGGGATATAGATCATTTGGATGTATTTGATGGGAGTATTTGGAGTATTTTAATGGTACACAGACCACGGATATGGCGGAAATTATTATTTTTTAAAATAGGTAATACATGCACAAGGTACAAGCTTCAAAAAGGTACTAAACAGTTAACAGTGAGCATGAAGTCTCTCTCCTTTCCCAGTCCCCCAGCCACCCAGTACCCCTTCCTGGTGGCAACTACTGTAACCACCTATGTATCCTTTGAGAGACAGATCGGCTTCTACAAACTTTATATTCTTCCCCAGCACCCGCCCCTGACACACACACACAAATGGTAGCATACTATAAAAGATGTTCTACAGCTTGCTCTCTTTATTTCCATTTAACAAAGACACCGAGGACTTCCCTGGTGGCCCAGTGGTTAAGACTCCGCGCTTCCACTGTGGCGGGCACAGATCCCTGGTCCAGGAACTAAGATCCCCACATGCCGTGCGGCACAGCCAAATAAATAAACAAATAAATAAATAAATAATTTTAAAAATGAAAAATAAAAAAACACCTAGAAGTGAATTACTGGGGCAAGACTATATCTAGCAAAATTACTCTAGATACCACCAAATTACCCCTAAAGAAGTTATACCAATTTATACTCTTACCAGCAATGCATGGCCTCACATTTGCTGCCAACTGGGTAGATAAAAAATACTTTATTATTGTTTTTCTTCTTTTTCTTACTATGAGTAAGGTAGATCATATTTTCATATATTTAATAGCCACTGGAATTTCCTTTACATGACCTTTCTTATTTCTATTCTTTGCCTATTTTTCTGTTGGTTGGTTGTCTTTTTTATTAGAGGCATACTTTAGATATTAGCTCTCTGTCTGTTAGAGAAGCTACAAATATTTTTTTCCTTTTCATAATTTGTCTTTTGACTTTGTCCTGGTGTTTGTTGACATGTAGAAATTGGTATTTTCATGCAAATTTATGAATCTTTGCTTTTGTGGCTTGGAGATTTTGTGTCATATTTAGAATGGCCTTCCCCACTTATCTTCTTTTAGAGTTTTATTTTTTACCCTTAGATCTTTGACCCATGGGAATGTATTACATATTAGAGATCTAACTTCCGTTTGTTTTTTTAAGATGGCCACCCCAATTGACCTTTTATTGAGTAAGCTAATATTTGTCCCATTAGTTAGAAAATGCCACTCTATTATAGAACATCTTTTATTGAACAAATTATCTTTTCCTCTATTGATCTGAAACGCCGTTTTCATTATATACAAGTCACATTGACATTTGGGTCCTTTCAAAACATTTTTTACTTTGCAGTGGACCATTCTATTTTGTTTATGAATAGGGTAGGCAATATCTGGTGATACTATTTTCTTTGCAACAGTTTTCATTTTCGGAATTGTCCTTGGCTATTCTTGCTAACTTATTTTTCCCATACAAATTTAGAATAAGTTTGTGTAGTTCCAGAAATGAAAAATCTTGTTAGCCTTTTTATGATATATTAAATTTATAGCCTACTTTAGGGCAAATTGAATTCTTTGTGATATTCGGTTTTTCTGAAGAATATAGTACACTTTTCCCTTTCTTCAAGCCTTCTTTATATTGCTCAGTAGCATTCTAAGTTTTCTTCATATAGATCAGTTTCTTCTTAGAGATTTTTGGAAAGTAGGGACCTTTAAAAAAATACCACCTAGGACCCATCCCACACCAGTGGAATTAGAATTCTAGGGATGGCACCTGGGCAGTTTTGTTCTCATTGCTGTTTTGTTTGTTAAGCCCTCCAGCGGATGATCCTAATGTGCAGCCAGAGGTGAGTTTATTCCTAGGTGTTTTATCATTTGTTGGTGTTGTGCTATTTTAAGTAGATGTTTCTTCCATTATATCTTCTAATTGGTTATTTGTATATACAAATTTTATTTCTTTATATTTACTTTGTACCAATAATACAATTTTTTTGGTACTAATAGTTTTCCAGTTGGTATCTTGTATTTCTCTGGTAAAAAGTTTATCTGCAAATAATAATTTTACCCAATTTCCTTTTAACCTGACTTCCTTTTTCAAACTGTCTTGGAAGTTTTCTTCATCAGACAACTCATCACCTTTACTTTCTTTATTGTTCTTCAGTGAATTGGTATGAGCTTATCTTTGCAGTTATGTATGAATTTCTGAGAAATAATTTTCACTTCAGATATATTCTGAAGTAAAACCCATAAGAGAAAGATCTCAATATTTAAACTATTGAGGTTAAAATTAAAATATACAAATCTACCTCTCATCTCCTAATTAAACCTAAGGAATAAAAAATAGCTAATGTGTGATGTATATGGTAAACATAGGGAAAAATAAAGCAATAATAATAGAAACGTGGTTTTGAAAACATAAGCATGTGAAGATAAATATAATCCACCTCATTCTATTCAAACTCCTTAAGATGCATTCACTGTTAGAATTTACCAAGCATCTGCGATGTTTTAAGCTTATTCAATGTAGGATCATAATTAGGTAAAATTGAGGTTTTAAGACAATATCTAATTCAAAATGGTATCTAACAACCATGAAAACAGAAAAAGAAGAAAAACTTGGAAAACGAGACAAATTATCTAATGCCAGAATCTGAGAGGAACTGACACTAATTATAAACTGGATTGAGGACAATCTTTGGGCTTCATCTTTCCCAACCTCCACCATTACCACCCTGTTCCAAACTACCATAATCTGTTGTATGGAATTTTGCAATAGCTTCCTAGGAGGTCTCCCTGAGTCTGCCCTAGGCTTTCCTCAGTCTCTTCTCAACACAGCAGCCAGAGTGATCAGATCACATCACTGGATACTCAAACCCTCCACTGGTTTCTCACCTTACTCTGTGAAAGCCTGTCGAATGAAAAAAAAAAAAAAAGCACAACCTAAAAGTTGAGAATTGTGTTTTATTCCGCGAACTTGCTGAGGACTTGAGCCCAGCAGGCAGCCTCTCAGATAACTCTGAGGGAGAGGCTGCTCTGAAGAGGTAAGGGAGGATCCAGGATATATAGTTTTTGCAACAAAAACCAGGCAGTCAGAATATCAAAAGATTACTGTTAATTAAAGAAAACCAGACATCTCAAGTTAATGAATTTAGCGCTTTTCTATGTATGGGAAGATGCAAGAGTCTGGGCTCAATGAAATCATTCCTTTGATAGGCACCTGAACTATCTAGGGCCAGTATCCTACTTTCTAGATCCTGAATCCCTTCAGAGTGCACAGTCGGGGGTGGCTGCAGTGACTGATGGCTTGATCCTTTGTTTATTGATATGGCAGGTGACATTCTTGGTCACAAGCCCAAATCATTACAGTGGCCTTCAGGGCTCTAAATGATCCGGGGGGCATATTGTACATCTCCCGCACTCTACTTGGTTCACTCTGCTCCAGCCACACTGGCCTCCCTATCCTTTTCCAGGCACACTAGGCAAGCACCACCTCAAGACCTTTGTGCTTATCAACTCTTGGCCTGGAATGCGGTTCTTCCCTCAGATTTCCACATGGCTCTCTTTGTTATCTCCTTCCGGTCATTGCTCAAATGTTACCTAATCACAAGGGCTTCACTGCTTTATTTTTCTGCATATAAATCATTACTGTCCAACTTAGTGTATGTTTTACATACTTAATTTGTTGATACTGTCTCCCAGCCCTCCTACCCACTAGGATGGAAGCTCCATACAGGAATGGCCTTTTGTCCTTTTTGTTTCCTAAAGTACCCTAAGGGCCTGACACATAGTAGAAGCTCAGTAAATATTTGTTGAATTAATATGCAAGGAATTCGAGTTTCTCAGATATCACATTGTATTGGAAAACCAACACATTTGTCCATGGCAGGGCACGGGGTGAAAGGGAGTAGCCTTCTCATAAAACAGAGCCTTCTGGAAACAGTGAATTCTAGAAAATCCTGCACAGGAGAATTGATAAAGGGACTCTATCCCTCTGTTTCTTCTTTTTCTATGAAAAAGCCAGATACTAAATATTTTAGGCTTCGTGAGCCATATGGTCTCTTTCACAACGGCTCAACCCTGCCGTAGTAGCAAGAAAGCAGCAGCAGACACTATGTGAACAAATGAGAGCGGCTATGCTCCAATGAAGCTTTGTTTACAAAAACACAGGATTTGACCTGGGGGCCATAGACTGCTAACTGCTAGTCTAGAGCAATGGTTCAAAACTTGCTGCAAATTGGAATCACCTGAGGATGTTTAAAAACTATTATGCCTAGCTCCCACCTGCAAGCATTGCAAGGTTTTAAAACTCCCCAGGTGATTCTAATTTGCAGCAAAATGTGGGAACCATGGGTCTGGAACCTTGTTTTTCAAACTATGGTCCTTGGACCAGAAGCATCCACATCACCTGGAAGCTTTATATATTTTTGTCTTTGCAGAAAGAAAAAAAAGTGGATTCTGTATTCTTTCTGTTTGTGGTTTTCCATTTCATAAAACCCAGGAGAGCCTAGTAAAAACTATTATAATTGATGAAATTTGTTAAATGGCTGCATATACATAAATCAATACCTATCTGTAAGAATAATCACTAATTAAAAATAGAAATCAGGAAAAATATTCCACTCACAGTATGACATTCTATAAAAATAGCTTAAAGTTTAACAAGAAGCACAAATCTAGATAAAAAAAGTTATAAAATTCTATTAAGTTTACAAACAAAATATAAACATGGAATGACAGCATGTTCTGGGATAGGAGGCTCTAATATTAAAATGCCACTTCTCCAGAATTAATGTATACATTTCATGCAATCCTGATCTTAGTCCCAGTAAGGGTTTGTTTGTTTTTTTAATTGGACTAAATGATCTGAACGTTTTCAAAAAAAAACTGAATGTCTGAAATAACTAATAAAATTATGGAAAATGAATATTGAGGTGGGACAATTCTTACTGGCTATTAAAGCATATTGTAAATCACTGAATCAAACTAGAACTTGGTGATGAGGGGCCATGAGCAAAAAAGAGAGAGCTCAACACAAATTAGGTGGAAGAAGCTCAATGTGGAAAACAAAAGATC